TAATGATTCTATGATTCTATTCTATGATGACCCTGTCCCAGGTGCAGAATACGGCACTTGCTCTTATTTCAAACGATGTGATTGGTGACTGCCCAGCTCTCTAGTCTATCCAGATCTCTCTGGAAGGCCTCTCTACCTTCGAGGGAGTCCACAGCTCCTCCTAATTTAGTATCATTGGCAAACTTACTTAATGTACGTTCGACTCCTATGTCCAGATCATTTATGAAAACATAAAAGAGCACTCTAAAAGTGAGCCCTGGGGAACTTGCCCGGTGACTGCCCGCCAGCCTGATGTAACCCCCTTTGAGCCCAACCCATCAGCCAATTGCTCACCCAACATATTATGGACTTGTCTAACTGTGTGCTGGACAGTTTTTCCAGAAGGATACTGTGAGATAGAGTATCAAAAGCTTTGTTAAAATCCAAACCGACCATGTCTACCAGCTTCCCTTGGTCAACTAGATGGGTGACCTTGTCATAAAAGGAAATTAAGCTGGTTAAGCAGAACTTTCCCTTCGTGAACTCATACTATGACCAATGACTGCATTGACTCTCAAGTGTTTTTCAATAACTGCCAGAATAACCTTCTCCATAATTCTACCAGGCACCGAAGTGTGACTGACAGGCCTTAATTACCAGGGTCTTCCTTCTTATCCTTCTTGAAAACTGGGACAATGTTTGCCAGCTTCCAGTTGACTCGAACCTCTCCAGACTTGTCACATGGAAACCTGGTACCAAGATATTGGACCCCTTGTGTGGAATTGTTTTGCTTCACAGAAATACTGGAGTGGTTGGCAGGTGGCAACATAATAATGAATGAGTTCTCACAAAGAGAGCAAAAGCTGCAGTCCCCAAGGCCAGGGAGAAACAGGCCTGGGCTGTGCAGCCCTGGCAGGAGAGGGGTTTGCTGTCCCAGGTGACTCTGCAGCACTGTGGGGCCTGTGACAGAGGTGAAACCAATCTCCAAGAAGGACAAGCTGCTGCTGAGAAAGTCCCCAGGGGAGGACAGCCTGTGATCCAGCCACACTGTGGACATCATGCTGGGGGCTCACTGGCTAGACCTTGGGGTCCCAGAGGATAACAAGCTGAGCAGAGCCAGCAGTGCACCGTTGCAGCAAAGGCCAACAGCCACCTCCCCCGGCCCCATGGCAGTGCCCACCGCAGGGTGCTGCTGCGCTCTGGGCACTCACACCAGAACCCCAGCCCCTCTGAAGGACACAGCAGCTCCTGGGGGGCAGCCTCCCCATCAGCCCCAGGGTTGGTGCTGGCCACAAGGGCATATGGAAACAGAGGCCATTCAATCTTTGGCTCTCCTGCATTCGAATTCTAGGCGATCCCTAACCCAAACTGCATCTGCCCCCTTCTCTGCCCCCACCAGCCCCACTCCCCAGGACAGCATGAGAGTCCTGGCTCTGCGGCTCCTCAGGCAGCTCATGGATCTCTCCAGTCTCCCTTCCCTGTACCCGCTGGGTGCCCACTGACTCCCATGGCACTGTAGAGTCCTTGTTTGTGGATACCTCGATTTAGTGCTTTACTTTTGGGGGACTTCTCCTATGAGGGTGTTTCACTTTGTGTGTCTCCATTCACTCCCACCCCAGTGCACACGGGAGGTGCCCATCCTCTCCTGACCCCTCCAAATTCATTTCCAGAGACACTGCTATATGGCATTAGTCCTGTCAGACGTGAAGCAGCCTGACGAGGTAATGGAGAGCTCATGGACCATCTCCACTGCAATTGGACACCAAGAAGAGAGCCTTTAAAACCAGAATTTTCAGACCAGTGGAACCCCATGGTACTGTGAGCTTAACCCCAAACACAGGGAGAACACAAGGAGAATAGACTCTTTAAAAGACCCGTTCTTTGGATATTTCATTGGCAGCAACTTTGGAGAAAGCCCAGCCTTCAGCACTGCATCCAGGATATCCCCTTTTATTGAAGAGCAGGTATTGGACATACCACATTTGACAGAGTGTTGTGCAAGTGTCAGACACAACAGAATCAAACCTCAAGACAAGCAGTATAAACTGCTACAGTAAACTACAATAGAAAATTATCTATAAGTAGGATTATCACAGGGAAAACAGCAGACTCCTGGCCTTAGATAAACTCTGGGAAATGTGCAGAGAAGGGGACACAGGTTATTGTTGGTGAAACAACGTCCATTGGGCCAGTTTCCACAGCGAATCCTTGAGCTCCTGGTTCTTCATGCTGTAGATGAAGGGGTTCACTGCTGGAGGCACCAATGAGTACAGAACTGCAATCCCCAGATCCAGCGATGGGGAGGAGATGGAGGGGGGCTTCAGGTAGGCAATGATGCCAGTGTTGATAAACAGGGAGACCACAGCCAGGTGAGGAAGGCACATGGAAAAGGCTTTGTGCCGTTCCCGCTCAGAGGGGATGCTCAGCACAGCCCTGAAGATCTGAACATAGGAAAAAAGAGTGAAAACAAATCACCCAAATGCTACTAAGAGACTAAATACAAGAAGCCCAGCTTCCCTGAGGTAGTCTGAGTCTGAGCAGGAGAGCTTGAGGATCTGGATCTGGGGGATTTCACAGAAGAACTGGTCCAGGGCATTGTCTTGGCAGAGAGATAGTGAAAATGTGTTGGCCGTGTGCAGCACAGCATTTAGAAACCCACTGCCCCAGGCAGCTGCTGCCATGCTGACACAAACTCTGCTGCCCAGGAGGGTCTCATAGTGCAGGGGTTTGCAGATGGCAATGTAGCGGTCATAGGACATGACTGTGAGAAGATAAAACTCTGCTGTAGCACAGAAAAAGAAAAAAAAGACCTGTGCAGCACATCCCAAGTAGGGAATGGCCCTGGTGTCCCAGAGGGAATTCGCCATGGCTTTGCGACAGTGGTGGAAATGAAGCCCAGGTCGAGAAGGGAGAGGTTGAAGAGGAAGAAGTACATGGGGGTGTGGAGGCAGTGATCACAGGCTATGGCAGTGATGATGAGGCCATTGCCCAGAAGGGCAGCCAGGTAGATAACCCAAGAAGAGCCAGAAGTGCAAGAGCTGCAGCTCCCGGGTGTTTGCAAACACCAGGAGGATGAACTCATTTAGGGAGTTGCGATTGCACATGTCTTCACTCCGGGCAGGGGGACTGTTGAAAGAGAAGACATTGATAAGTTAGGACAGACTTCTCTGAGCCAATCCTATGCTGTTTCCCAAAGATATCCCTGCACGTTGACTTCTCTTTCCTAGGGGGACCTTCATTCAGCTCCTTTTTGTGAGCTCAGGTGTGTGCTGCTAAGTGTGTCATGAGGAGCAAGTGCTCCAGAGAAGTCAGTCCTACACTACTGCAGTAGTTTCAAACATCCCGTGCATTTGGTAGGGTTTCCTAGCAGTAGGTGCCTACAGTTGAGTGAGAGGTATTTACTTCGGTGACCTTGTGGGAATTGTCCTTTATTTACTGCAGTGTGTAAACTACTATGTTCACACTGTGCTGTGATGAAGTGCAGCCAGCACTGGGGAAGGGCAGTTGAACATCTTCAGACCCCAGTCTCCAGAAGATGGTCTGGAGCCAAGGGGTTTATGATACATTTAGAATCACAGAATCATAGAATCATTAAGGTTGGAAAAGACCTCATTGAGTCCAACCATCAACTCAACACTACCATGCCCACTAAACCATGTCCCTAGGCACCTCATCTACATGTCTTTTAAATACTTCCAGGGATGGTGACTCAACCACTTCCCTGGGCAGACTGTTCCAAGGCTTGACCACTCTTTCAATAAAGAAATTTTTCCTAATGTCCAATCTAAACCTCCCTTGGTGCGACTTGAGGCCATTTCCTCTCGTCCTATTTATTTCAATTGGAGATGCTGCCATTGCCCTGGGCACTTTCTTTGCAGCAGCAGAAATCCTTGGCTTTTGCATTGCGCTCAGCCTGAAGACTGGTGAGCCCCTGAGGGACAAAAAGGGGGACTCCCTGTGCCCTAGTGCAGCGTCAGGAGAGCTGGTCTGCCCATGAGTGACCTGCTGGTCACCACACAGGTGCCCTGTGCTTACACCTCTTTCTGTTGGAGCATGATCTTACTCACAACATACTTGAAGAAGAAACTGGACTTTTGTGAGCGCAGAAGAGTCCAGCTTCAATGCCCACTCCTCCAAACTCATTTCTTTTCCTGCGCAGAGGGGTAGCATGGCTGTCTGCTGCCTGGAGATTCCCCTGCCAGGAGCTGTTTCTCTGTCCCCTACATCTCCTCCCTATCAGTGCTCACAGACCCCATGCAACGCACTGTGCGCTCAGCTCTGCCCTGCAGACACCTCCCGGCAGCAGGGCTCTGTCCAGGGACATCTCCCTTTTTGCAGGTCCTAAGGAGCAAGCAAAGGTGATGCTGGTGCTGTCTGTAGGTAGAGGCACTTTATGAGGTTTCAGATCTGTTCATCCGTCAGTGTAACACTTCAGGAGTCTCAGGGTCTTATTAAAACCTGCCGGCTCCTTTCCCCTTTCCCTTAGAAGTAAACTGAGAGCACAGACCCTAGAAAGCTGATCACTTTGAAGGTGGTCCCTGCCTTGAACTTTCTCTTGAAAACCTGCCTCTGCCAATGTCCTGGGGGTGATCAGGAGCTGTGAGCAGCCCTCACCCGTGCCGCACGCTCTCAACAGCAGAATGCTGCCCTGCTGGGGGTTTTTCCTTCCATCCACAGCTTCTCCCTGCAGCGCTGTGGGGAGCTGACCCTGGCAGGCAGCAGAGCCCCTGCCCCAACACACAGCCCCCTGGGGACCCTGCTCTGAAGGACAGCTGTGGGCACCCCTGGCTGCACACCCGCCTTCAGACCCCTGCAGCCGTCCCCAGGAGAAGGGAGCCAACATGCTCTGCCCTCTGACGGTGCAGCAGGGAATCTGGAGCGTGTCCTCCTCCTCAAAACCATAGAGAGATCCCACAGGCTGTTGGCTGTGACAGCTTTACAAGATTGCTCTAAGAACCGCATCTGCATGGCCCTGCATCCAGAGACTTACCGTGTCAAGAGCTGTGAAGATTTCTCCCGCAGTGAGTACTCAGCTGTCCTTCCACCCCAGACTGCCTTTAATCTCTCACTTTCTCATCCCCTCTTGTCGGCCGCAGGCAGTGCCCGTGCCCTCAGCCCTGCTGCGCTTTGCAGAGGAGCTGCTCCTAGGCAGAGCTGTTTCCCTGCAGTGCAGCCCGGTTGCCATGAGCTCTCTCTGTACCAGCTCAGCAGCAGAGGACTAGCCCAAGGCTTTCTAATGACCCCTCTGGTGGGTTTGGTGCTAATCCATGGACTCATCAAGTCATGAGACCATGAACCTTAGACACTGACAGGAAGTCGAAGAAATGTCTCAAGAAATCCAAGTCAGATGCAAACTCCAAAGTTTCGGGGAGTGTTAACGGGTCCCACTGAGGGACATTACCAACAAAGCCTCCCCAAGGGCTCGTTAGAGCAGGAAATTGGAGGCAATGATGAAAGGTAGGCAAAGGCAATGTAAAGGTGGCTCTGGTGCTGAGTAAACCTGGATGTATTACATTAAGCCAAAGGGCCAAGCCCTGATCCCCAGCCCCTGGCAAAGGGAGATCCTGTCCCTCACATGTTGCTTAGGGCTCTTCCTGGGACAGTGTGATGTGGGGATGTGCAATGCCAAGGGCAGGATTATGGTACAACACCTCCCAGGCTCCTGGGTGGGCACAAGGAGGCCGTGAGGCCCTAGTGCTTTAAGGATGAAGTGTTTGCTCATTGTCGTCACTGTCAGAGACAACAGACAGTTTGCCAAAGAGGTAAAGACCTTGGCTCTGTTGGAGACTTTCAGCCTTGCCACAGCCCTTAGATGTCTCCACCACAGGCTGTCCTGTCGCAACAGGCTCTTCTAAAAAGTTTGCCACCATCTTTCTTACAAACCCCCTTTTAAGTACTGAAAGGCTGCAATAAGGTCTCCCCAAACCCTTCTTTTCTCCAGGCTGAACAACCCCAACTCTCTCAGCCTTTCTTCATAGGAGAGGTGTTCCATTCCCCTGATCATTTTTGTGGCCCTCCTCTGAACCTGCTCCAACAGGTCCATGTCTTTCTTGTGCTGAGGGTTCCAGAGCTGGACGCAGTACTCCAGGTGGGGTCTCACCAGAGCAGAGTAAAGGGGCAGAATCACCTCCCTCGACCTGCTGGCCACGCTTCTTTTGATGCAGCCCAGGAGACGGTTGGCCGTCTGGGCTGCAAGCGCACCTTATCGGCTCACGTCCAGCTTTTCATCCACCAGTACCCCCAAGTCCTTCTCGGCAGGGCTGCTCTCAATCCCTTCATCCCCCAGCCTGTATTGATACCAGGGGTTGCCCCGACCCAGGTGCAGGACCCTGCACTTGGCCTTGTTGACCCTCATGAACCGTCACTAGCCCACTTCTCGAGCTTGTCCAGGTCCCTCTGGATGCCATCATTTATTCACGTTGGGTTTGAAACCTTACAAGGATTGACACAGCACAATATCTCGGGGCAACCTGCTCCAGTGCTTGACTGTCTCCATGGGAAAACTTGTTTCAGCTGATGCCCATGGGACCTCATCCTCTCATCATGCACAACAGGGAACAGTCCAGCTCTGTCTTCTTGATGAGCTTCTAGTAGAGGTGGAAAGGCTGTTATTAGTGGTCTGCAAAGAATTAACTTCTCATAACTTAACAAACCCAGCTTCTTCAGCCTTTTATATTGATAAGGTCAACCTTACAAATGCACGCCAGAGATGTTTAGGGCTCTTCCAATCCTACTGGATTTTATTGGATTTGCAAGGGACCTCATGGATATTGGAATATCATCACCCTCAATGCCATCACTTTCTGCATGTGTCACTCTTATTTGCCATCCTAGTGCAATGCACCGCTTTGCAGGCTGTGAGGAGGGCCCATGCTGAACAAGCAGCTATTCATAAACTTTCGGCCTAAAATTTTTCAGGGATGTTTTTTCTGCCCAAGGGGATGTGCCAGCCAAGGAGCATTCTCCAATTGTGCTGGACAGACCACGGATGCACACTGATGTGTTAGCATCCACCTGAGGATGTCGTGAGTGGCAGACCACCTGGCAGTGAAGTCTGTGCCTACAGGCATGAGTGCTCTTGAGCAAACAGCCCTCTTAGGTGCCCTCATGTGCCACACTGCCATTATTTGTTCCTCATCCCCTTGACATCTGTTGTAGGGGTCCCCTAGGTAAGAGGAGATGAGATATGGGGTGAGACTGAGACTTCTGCACTGGAAATGTGCTCAACCGACAGAGATGAATATCATCACAGGAATGCACACTTAAATAACAAGAGGTACTAGGTCTTGGGAAAAGCTCCTTTTTCAGCAAAAATCCCTGTTTTATCTCCACAGGAACAGCAGAGATCCAACTGACAAGTACACTATTTTATTTATAATTAATGATACAAGCAAACAGGGACTTTTTCACATTCACTTCTAAATAAGACACAGAGATCACTAAGGAACTCCTTCCTTCCTCCCTCTTCCCGCTTCACAAACATCCACAAGGCACACGGTTCTTGAGGGTGCCTGATTCAGAACACACACCTTCCCAAACTTTATCCTCAGCGATTCACAGAAGGACAATTTCTACATCATGGTCATGCTACGAGGACTAGGTGCTGGCCAGGGCTTTCTTGAACCCTTTCCTCATGGCCTCTCTGACCTCCCTGATCCTCAGGCTGTAGATAAGGATGGGGGCATGAGGATGGTGTAGAAAAAGGAAAACACTTTGCTGAGCTGTTCTGGGCAGCAGGTAGACAACTATGAGGGTGCTATATAAAAGAGTGACGATGGTGAGGTGAGAAAAGCAGGTGGTGAAGGCCTTCTGCCTGCCCACGCAGGATGGGATCCTCAGGATGGCAGCTGTGATGCACACAAAGGCAGCTAGTGTGAACATGAAGAGGAAGATTGTACTTGGAAAAGACTGTGTGAAAGACACAAATTTGACCACACTTGTGGCTCTGCAGGAAAGCTCCAGCAATGGGGCAAAATGGCAAAAGAAGTGATGGCATAGGAAAGTGTTAAGGAATACTCATAAGTCTAGTACCAAGAGATCAACAACTGTTTTTGATTTTTCCATAAGTTAACCCTACAATGCATTGATTGCAGTGGTGATTTAA